AAAAATATCAAGGTGAACTTGTATGGGTGTGTTGAGAGCCCGATGATTGCGAAGGACTTTTGATGGGCCAAAGGACCCCAAATGCAGAATTTTACCGGACGCATTGAGTTAGTGGAAATAGAAGTGATAGAAGCACATGGCTTCCTACTTAGGTTAATCAGGATGGAGTATGTTTGTCCAATAAGTAAAGAAATGGGGTTGAAGGCGAAAATGTAGGCAAGAGTGACACCTCTCATCTTGTTATTCTGCTTTGGGTTCAAAACAGCAAGCACTGGAAGCAAGGAGGAGCAAACAGAGCCACGGATTAATCAAGAAATGGAATCTTACCTGTAATAGTATTAGCTACAATCTTTGGTAGAATGGTGAATTGAAGAAAACAAATGCACAGTCCACCCGGAAGGCCTGAATGAATGGAAAAAAGACGGAAATGAGTGAATGCATGAGTAGTAGCCCTTGGGGATGATGAAATCACCTAGCCGTATTTTGCCTTGTTCATTTAAGTTAGCCCTCTGGAGGGCGAAGCTAACACCAAATCCGATTACGACGAGATTAATTGTAGTAATAATGATTCACTTGTATACAAAGACCATAAGAAATGTTGAAATGCCATTGTAGAACCTCCACTTTTGCTAATTAACCTCTTCGACTAAGAATATGACCTTTTCATTTGTCCTCTTAACAAATTGTTGGCTGTCCACACAGAGTGAGCGGTTGAAGCCTATAAGTGAGTAGTCGTTTGGCATAACCAACCACTCTGCAAACACATGTGACTGCCATCTAGCATAGACAGCTTAGCCTCAGTTAATGCGTTATGGTGATTTGTTACCGCGATACTATTTAAGGAATCCGGAGGCTGACCAGAATGAAACTGTTGTTACACAGCACGAGGTTGTAGCCGCCTATTAACGTTAAAATCGAATGGGTACTTTCAGCATAAGATTAAAAGGGTTGCATTTGAAATGACGACCCCACTGCCAGTAACTGAAGTCACGTAAGAGTAAAATAAGAGTTGATTCACCATTTGAATTTCCAATTCAGACAACTTGCTACTTTTCTATAATGACACATGGTATGGCAATTACTGTCTGTAGTCCACTGGAGGAATTAGGGTTCTGGGAAAGCAAAACGTGATGACGTCTGAAGGTATGTGGAAGAAGGGCTGCGTGGCAGCCTAATCACAGGAAACTAGATCGGTTATCACAGCAAATTCAAAAGTTGATCCATGTTTAACGCATTTATTGGGTGCGCCGAATCCTTCTGATCGGCTCAATATAATAGGGAAATTCCGTTAAGTCGGCTTTGTGGTTGCTAATTTCTCGATTACTTTAGGCTGACAGTTGACAGAAAGACAATTTCCGCCTCGATTCATTAGTCAAACTTGACCATCTGCAAGGCCTTCGATTCACTCACCCTACTCTACAACAGTCACTGCCACCAGCAATGCAGCTTTGAAACGGTCGCATAAATTTTGGTCTAAAATTGCGTCAAATCCTTAAAAATACTCACCCTACACTTTTGCTGAGTTTATTTAGTAGGTAAGTATTGCTT